AATCCAACATATATAGGGAATACTATATATGAGGGTGATCTTTGTATCACGAGCCAACAATATTCACATTGATGTAAAATCACACAATTGTCTTGCCAATTATGTCTAGTTATTCTTCTTTTGGAGAACCTAGAGAACTCAACCAATTTCGGAAGCTCTCTATCCCATAACCTTCATGAGCATATCTTGCTCATCTTCTTTCATTCTTGGGCTTCTCATGCAAATTCCGCCTTCTTCAATACTCTAATCCTTGAGTTGTTGAAGCCATCTTACCTTCCCACATGCTCTAGGTGAATAATTTTCTACATACCTGCAAGCAGAACTGATGTTTGATATCATATCACCAAGATCCCATGCATAAGTCTCTCCCACAAAGGCTTCTTTATGTTCATAACATCGGCAATGTTTGCCCATACTTTTAGAATTTTCAAGTACCCATTTCATTCCATTCTAAATTTTCTTCCTACGTTAAACATCAGCCAATCAAGAAAACCACAAATAAGTGAAATAACAAATCTTATACAAATCATGGCAATAATCAAAATCAATATTAAAGGAGCATGCAATACCCTAATCACATCGACCATTCTTTCACCAAAATTTGAACATTGGCCAAAAAAAAATTCATGTGGTGTTTCCAACTTCACATCCCCTCGTGGAAGTCTCAAATCTTCAATTTCTCTACTTTGTCAAATATTCTTATCAAGACCATGCTTTGTGTCACCGAGATCTTCAATTGCCAAACCACCTGCCCCATGCCGAATTTCTTCTTCAACCAAATTTACCTTTCATTTATAATTGTGCTCCTTAATAATTTATATAAGTTTCTTTCTAGAACTACCTTCAATATATCTAAGCTCCCTTCAAAACTTTAAGCACTCCACCTTCCCTAATAAATTTGTAGCCTTAAATATGGAGAGAAGAAAGTGGAATTATGCTCTTCGTCAAATCCGGCACATGTCTCATATTTTCAAAAGTTTGAACCATTCTATCATATATCCTTATGTGAATCGTACATTTTCCGATTGTTTTACTCATTGACTTATTTCTCATTGATGCTAAACTGCCTTTACATGGCTCAAATGTATCAAACCGTAATCTATGTAGGTACACATGATATGTGGCTCTATTATAAAAAAACCCAACTTTGATAGTACATGGGATTGTATCCCACTGTGAACATCTCATCTTTAATATAACCAGATGTTGATTCTTCAACTTGGCGAGCCTTATTCTTGGCTTCACCTTGCTATTCTATTTCCAAACCGAAAAACTTTGACGAATTTTGTCGTTTTCTTTGGCAACAAATTTTCTTAATGTGGCCAAGCTTGCCACAAAACCAATAACCTTTTTCAGAAGGCCCCCTTGACTTTGATCGGTTAATCTCTTGATGAACCAACCCATTCATCCAATCAAGCTCTTTCCATAAGGATATCCATCTTCGAACCCATCGAATAATCTATTGATGCCTTCTTTCGAAGTTCATTGGCAAGGTATGCACTATAAACTGAACTCAAATCAAGATAATCTTATTTACTACAACTCAAAGAAGTAAAATGGGTATCATAAGATTCCGGTAATGTACAAAGTAAGGTGACCCCCTTGTCTTCATTTTTCATTCTCACACCAATATTTTTAATTTGACAAATGATATTATTAATTTGACATTCAAGTGTTCCAACACTTTTGCACCCTCTTTCATTATCAAGGAATATAATTTTCTTTGTAAGAAGATTTAGTTTGTGAGAGAATTTTTTTTTATACAAACTTTCCAATTTTTCCCACAAATATTTTGTCTTATTTTTCCCAACAATCTTAAACAACAATTTATTTGCCAAATATAAGCGAATAGTAGCCCTTGCCTTCAGATCGAATTCCTCCCAATTATCATCGGTCATGTTTACCAATTTTTTATCTTTTCCAAATAATGCTATGTGTTGCTCTTGATATACACATAAATCTTACAATTTTAATTTTCAAATATCAAAATCATCTTTCCCATCAAACTTTTCTACCACAAACTTGTGACTTGATATTTTCCCAAAAACACTATACCACTTCTTTGAGCTGATACCATTTGTTGGTAAGCAAGGCTCTCTCGATTATCCCTTGTTTGTAAATCGGGATAACCCTAATCCTTATTTGATGTGGTGAGCACCCCACAATAATGATCCCAACACTCAAACAAAATATACTCAAGAGCAATAATGTGTACAATACATTTGAAAA